GCTAATTTTTCTATTTTTTGTAGAGATTGGGTCTCACTATGTTGCTCAAGCTGGTCTCAAAACTCCTGACCTCAAGCAGTTCTCCCACATTGGCCTCCTAAAGTGCTAAGGATTATAGGCATGAGCCACTGCACCCAGCCAAAACTTGGTCTGTTTTAACTGTAACTTTAATTTGCCTTAAAACTCTGAACAAATCATTCAGCTTTAATAGAAAACTAGTTCACTGAACATATTTATGGAGTACTTAATTTTGCATAGTTATGGGATAATAAAATCAGGAAGTAGTCCCTTCCCTTAAGAAATTTACAAGTCAAATAGAAGAAAGCTATGAAAATAATAAGTTACAACTCCTTTCAGTCTGCATTATATAGAGAAGTTTACCTGGGTACTGTATAGATAGTGCTAGAATGTTAATGGTAAGTCAAAACACAACTCATTCTATAGAGCATGTCATACTTCCTTAAATCCTCCAAACACAGGACAAAAGGGCACATGGGTCAAGCAGATTTGTTTTTTTTCAGAGAGCTATTCCCAGTTAATTTACTCTGTCAAATGCATTTCCCTGCTTATTTCTACAGTCTTCATTCATCTGAAAGCAAATCACTTGAATATTTGTAGTTATATCCTTCTACCTAATTTAATCTTATTGAGATGGTGAAAACAGAATAATCTGGATCAGTAAGTCCATAGACAACATAAATTCAGCTAGTTCATAGGAATCAAATTGTGACTGCCTTGGTTTAATATCTTTTAGAAATAGCACTTTTTCTTCAGGGAAAATAATCAGAATCATCTTACCTCATTTAATGTTTTGTATTTGAAAGATTAAGAAAGGTAGCGAAGAGTCTCATGTTCTTGAAACGTCCAAATCTTTTCTGTGCAAGTTTATATACAGTAGAAATGAAGGTTAAAGCAAAAATATTTGTTCCTTAATACAGGCTTAATATCTAAAGATTGCAATTGAGGCCCAGTATGGTGGCTCACACCTTGTAATCATAGCACTTTGGAAGGCTGAGGAGGGAAGATTGCTTGAGGCCAGTCTGAGTGAGAACAGTAGACCCCATCTCTACAAAAAATAGAAAAATTATCTGGGCATCATGGTAGCACATGCCTATAGTTCCTGCTACTTGAGAGGCTGAAGCAAGAGGATTGCTTGAGCTCAAAAGTTTGAGGTTGCTGTGAGCTGTGATGCCATGACACTCTACCATGGGTGACAAAGTGAGGCTCTGTCTAAAAATAAAATAAAATAAATAAAAATAGCAGTGGTGCCTGCCGGGGGTGGTGGGTTCAAACCCAGCCCCAGCCAAAAACTGCAAAAAAATAAAAATAAGCAGCTACTTTAACCATAAGCATAAAGAATACTTTATTTCAGATGTTTATTCTATCTCCTCGTGTTATTTGTCTACTTAGAGGAATAGAGTTGGCTTTTTAATTATGCTGATTTAAGGGGTTTTCTGGGTTTTTTGACCACCCTTTCCTCTTCACATTTCATTGTTCTTTTTTTAGGAAGAAGATTTAAAAGATATGTATAGAACCATATCAAGTTTGTGTTTTTTTTTTTTTTAGAGACAGAGTCTCACTTTGTCGTCCTCAGTAGAGTGCTGTGGCATCACAGCAACCTCCAGTTCTTGGGCTTAGGCAATTCTCTTGCCTCAGCCTCCTTCCTGAGTAGCTGGGACTACAGGCACTTGCCACAACACCTGGCTATTTTTTTGTTGCAGTTTGGCTGGGGCCAGGTTCAAACCCACCACCCTCGGTATATGGGGCCTGCGCCCTACTCACTGAGCAATAGGCACCACCAAAAACCGTATCAAGTTTTAAAAACACAATTTTTGATCCAGAAACTTGTGAAAATTGAATACTACAATCTGTCAGTCATACAAATGTCCTTTAAAAACTGTTCAATTAAAATCCTGCTGGTGATACAATCTTTGGTTTCTTTTTCAGGTTATTATGGGGATGGACTGAACGCCATTGTTGTATTTGCTGTTTGTTTTATGCCTGAAAGTGGTCAGCCTAACTATAGATACCTGATGGACAATCTCTTTAAGTAAGTATATTTTAACAAAAATGTTTGGACAGAATTCTGAGCTAATGAGCTCTGTAAAAATTATAAATATCCCAATTCTGATTCTTGTAAGTACTTAATCTTTGGCATTATGAAAAGGTAGTTTTCCAACTCAAGAGAAACTGTCATTTTAAAACTGAAAGATACATTAAAGATTATCTATTCCAACTTTTTTATTTTACGTTTGAGGACACGTTAAGTGTTAAGAAGTGACTTTCACTTTGAAATTATATGGCTAAATTACATTTACCCCTAGAATCCCAGTGTAACTTAGCTGAGTCAGTTTTATTTCCACAGTCATTCCATTTTACAGGTTAGGGCAGCTTTAAAAAACTTAATTATGAAAAGCTCCAAACAATCCGTCACTGTAACAATAAATAATTTATACTTTATTCCCTCTTCTCCCTCATTGGATAATTTTGAAGCAAATCCAAGACATGATGTTACACTAAAAATATTCCAATGTTCTTTTTAAAATAATTATAATACCAACTAATACAGCCTTAAAATTTTAATTGTTTTTGTTCTCATTGTTAAAGAGAAAACGGAATTGTATAATTTGGAGAAACTAATTCATTTCTGCTCAGTGTGATTTAAGGCTTAACTTTAATTTGTTTTTACAGATATGTTATTGGCACTTTGGAGTTATTAGTAGCAGAAAACTACATGATAGTTTATTTAAATGGTGCAACAACTCGAAGAAAAATGCCCAGCCTGGGATGGCTCAGGAAATGTTATCAGCAAATTGATAGAAGGTAATGTAAATACAAGTTGAAAGGTGGTTCAGTGCTCTTAACTCAGTGGTTAGGGCATCGGTCACATACACCCAGGCAGGCGGGGTCAAACCTGGCCTGGGCCTGCTAAACAACAATGACAACTGCAACAACAACAACAAAATAGCCAGGCATTGTGATGGGCACTTGTCCCAGCTACTTGGGAGTCTGAGGCAAGACAGTTGCTTAAGCCCAAGAATTTGAGATTGTTGCGAACTGTGACGCCACTGCACTCTACTGAGGGAAACATAGTGAAATTCTGTCTCAAAAAAAAAAAAACAAGTTGAAAGCCAGTTTGAATAATTTTTTAATGTCTTTATTATAAATTTTATTTTCTGTTGTCACTTAAAGATGCCATTTATTTACTTAAATGACATTTGTTAATTTCATGACTGGTTTCTGTTTTTCTAAAGATAATATTTTAGAATATCATGAAGGAAATTAATTTTGATTATAATTTTATTCTGAGTTTTGCCTAATTTATAGTGGTTAGCATGTTTTATGTTTAGCTATAATCTTTCTTTGGAACAAGAATGGGAAGTATATTCTCTTGAAACTTAGTCATCAATATTTAATGGAAGGGATTTGATCTTCTGATTGGTTTGATTTGGCCATAGCTAGATTTGTCTCCATGTCTGAACTTTACATTGGCTAGCTGCTGTTATTAAAAAAAATACATATGTATATCTCCTTAAGAATCACTTTATATATGAAATATGCATTATATAACAACAGTTTTTATTTTATTTAAAAAGAAGAGGTCTAGAATAATGTCTTTAATTTTAAATCAAAATTTTAAACACCTGAATTTTTAAGAACAGAAGTTAGTTGCAATCCATGTTTATTCTTGTGGTCGTCTCCATTCTCTCATCTCTACCTGTGCTGTGCCTTACAGAGTGTTAAACGAATTAGCACCAATCTCTCTCCAGTCTTGAAAAATGAAAATGGTTTATGTTTGTATTCAGTATTGGCCTTTTTCCTCTGGTTGACAGAATCCTAAAGACAAACAAATTCATACTAAGGGACATTTTATACAGGCTTTGGCCAAATGAAATGGTGTTCATATATCAATAGGAGGGACTGTCAGAATTCAAGAGCATGTTTTCTTGTTTCTGAAGTATCATGCTTAAAAGATAATTCTTAGATGAGATTTTTCATTATTTAGTATAAACTTGTACATACTTATCAAAGTTGTCCAGGCTTAGAATTAATGGAGATTTTTTAATTTCCTTTGTTGTTTTTTTAAATTCCAGGTTACGAAAAAATCTAAAATCTCTAATCATTGTACATCCCTCTTGGTTTATCAGAACACTTCTGGCTGTTACCAGACCATTTATTAGGTAATTTTTCAAGAGCTGTTCACTTCTTATGTTTTTTTCTGGGTTTTTTTTTTCTTTATTCTTCTCTGCCCCCTTTTCAGTTTTCAGGCACATAATAATTGTGTATATTTATGGGATACAGAGTGATATCTTGGTGTGAGTATAAAGTTAATGATGGAGTCAGGGTAATTAGCATATCTATCACCTCAGACTTTGTTATTTCTTTGTGTTAGGAACATTCAAATGCTATTGACTTTTTAAAAAATTCCTACTATAAATTTCTTGTCATTTCTGTTGGTCAGAAATAATGAGGTAATTATTTTTTTATTTTTTTTTCATAGCTCAAAATTCAGCCAAAAAATTAGATACGTCTTTAATTTGGCAGAACTAGCGGAACTGGTCCCCATGGAATATGTTGGCATACCAGAATGCATAAAACAGTATGTTTTGCTTTTTTTTTTTTTTAATTGTATTGGATCTTTATATTTTGTTGTGCAAGAGGTAGTATTTTTCAGTGCTTATTTTGTAACTGCTTTTCTTTTTCTGGTAACAAAAAGAGGAAGGAGTCACTTTCCCACATTTGTCTCCTTAAATCTCCATTTTCATCAGCCTGTGAAATTGAAGAACTAGGAGAAAAGATTTCTAGTTGTGATTCATGTTGTATTGTCATAGACTGCTTACATCTGAGATGGTTTTTCTGACTGTTCAGTACTAAGGAATATTCTCCAAAATTAAACATGGTACCCCCCAATTCAAGTAACTTGGGACATTGAATAATTATATTGCTAAGGAAATAAATACTATTTAAATCAGTGTAACCTTAATATTTTCCAGTGACTGGAATTTGTCCTGTTTATCAAATTCACATACTTCTGAAAGGACTTGATAGAAGGCTGTTAACATAAATACCTGAGCATTACAATGCATGTAAAAAGTTTATTTGTTCTGTTAACCTATGGTTTTAGTCTGTTTAATGTGTCAAAGCCAGATTTATTAAGTCAGTTTTTACTTTCTACATCATGTATTAAATATTTTTGATTTGCCGGCAAACTTAAATGAGTTTGGTTTTAGTGCCTTTTTTCAAATTTATGTTCAACTTCGTAACATGTATATTTACCAAAATAACTCTTCCCTACCAAGGTATGAAGAAGAAAAGTTAAAAAAGAAACAAAAAAGGTATATGCACACCTTGAATGGGTTGCATCTAGACTAGTCCATTTGCGTTGCACAGACTAACTCTTCCTTATTGCTTGGTTAGCTTATAGACAAAGATAATAGCATTTGTAAATATAAATATGCCCCAACTTCCAAATATAGGGTGAATCCAAAATTTCTAATGCTGAATGTGACTCGGATTTGCTTTGTTTTAATGACATATATATATAATGCCAATTAGGAACTAAAGAGCACAGCCCCTTTAGACCCCTTTTTGGTCTAAAATCTAAATAGTAATGGTGAAGCTATTATAAAGAACACTATTTGGATCATCATATCCTTTTAAGACTTTATCTGTTTCACCATTTTCTTTAAATGTCTAACTTGTGTTTTTGAAATACTTACGCAGACTTTTTAAAGAAATCAATTTATTTCCCTGGGGTTGAAGACTATATTTACAATGCATATATTCTTTGGCTAACCAACGTCAGTCTCCTTTTATGCTTAAATTAAATGGCTTTCTAACCAGTCAAACTCTACATGTGATAAAATACCTAAAGGTTTGATGTACCATTTAACAGTTAAGCACTCTGCTTTCTATTTTAAATTTAATTTTGAACACTTCTGCTTTCAGCATAACAAATTATTACCTATTAATATCTTGGCATAAAAGATGAAAGGCAAGGGTTAAGTTAAATAGCTGTGATTTTATAATGTAGAAAAATGTAGAATTTGGATCTAATTTGTTCGATTTTTTAAATACTGACAATTAAAGTTAGCAAAGCATAGTTTAATACAATCTTTCTTAAGAATTAAGGTAAGAGGTTTACGTATAGTTATCATTTTACCATTCCAAGGAACCAGCTGTAACTAGCTGGTACTATAGCATTCTTAACTTTGAGCAGATTTTGGTTCTGTTGATGAGTGAGAATTCAGCAAGCAATGTGACAGAATCATAGCTTTCTATTTCTGTATGATGCTTTATAGTTTAACCAACACTTTAACATAGAGAGGTAGACAGTGACTTTAGATTGTGCTCATTTCTCCTTTCTTTCTATTTTTTTTTTTTAATTGAGTAATGGCCACCCAAGTAGCCACATCCTGTTCTCTGAATGTTAGTTTATAGGGCAAAAGGGACTTTACAGATGAGGTTGATTTAAAGATTTCTTTTTTTTCTTTTTGAGACAGTCTCATTATGTTACCCCTTGGTAGAGTGCTGTGGCGTCACAGCTCACAGCAACCTCAAACTCTTGGGCTCAAGCAATTCCCTTGCATCAGCTTCCCAAGCAGCTGGGACTACAGGCACTCGCCACAACACCCAGCTATGTTTTGGTTGTGGTTGTTGTTTGGCAGGCCCGGGCTGGGTTCAAACTTGCCAGCTTTGGTGTGGGTGGCTGGTGCCCTAGCCACTGAGCTACAGGTGCTCAAGAGAGGCAAGAGAGACATATTTTTAAAACTAAACCTTAGGCTGGGCGTAGTTGCTCACTAGCACTGTGGGAGGTGGATTGCCTGAGCTCAGGACCAGTCTGAGCAATAGCAAGACCCCATGTCTAAAAATTATCCAGATGTTCTAATGAGCACCTATAATCCCAGCTACTTAGAAGGCTGAGACAAGAAGTTTGCTGTGGCCAAGAGTTTGAGGTTGCTGTGAGCTGTGACAGCATGGCACTCTACCAAGGGCGACAAAATGAGACTGTCTCAAAAAAAGAAAAAACACCAAGCCTTACAGGAAGATACGTGCAAGGAAACTTTTTAAGGTGTCATCTCCATGGTAAATAGTGGTGCTAAGGAGAGTACAAAACTATGAGTGTTGAAATACAGCAAATGTCGGGGGAGAGGGCACAGTTGGGGTGGAGGGTCAGAGAAATGCTGAGGGAGGTAGGATCTGACATCTTAAGCTAAGCCAGGATCTACCCAGCCTCAGGATTGTGGGGAAAGTATAGCAGTTTTAAATGTTTCAGATGCGTCTTTCAGACAACTCAGTGCAGGTGTAGCCAGGCAGGTAAAGATTGTTAAAATGTTGCAATGGAATTTTAAAATAATTCTGCAGTTAGGTCTTATAAGATATTTTATTTCTTTTATTTTTTTTTCTTTCTTCCTTTTTTCCCCATTTGTTGTTCTTTTGCATTTTTGGATAGTCAGAACAGAAGCTGTGAGCTTGTGTATTTCCAATGTTGAAAAGATTGGATACACTTTGCTTGCCTTATCAAGAATATGTACCTTTCAAATTTTTGATACCAATATTAAACATTTGAAAATGTTAATCTGGCTTTACCACAAACCAGGGCTTTTAGGTCTGATTCATTAATGCTCAGGTGTAATGGTAACAAATGTGGAAAGTATCTTGTATCATACCAGACTATTTCAAAGATCAAAACATCAGTTATCCAAACTACTATAAAGATAATAGTGTAATAGACTGTCGTGTAATATCTTGGAAGAGTTATCTATAATTATTCTGTGGTAATAATGTAATTCTAATCCTCACATGCCTAAATTTTGAAATGAACTTCGTCTAGCACACCACAATCGAATGAGATTTTTAATCTACTTTTAGATATTTCTGAAATACTAATTTCTTATGGCTTTTCACTATGAAAATGAGTAAAAGGCATTCACAGACTAAGCGTACCAGTAGATGTTGGAGAATAATTGTGGATTCTATAAACATGCCCTTTTTCCAGTGAAATTTAAAATACTGATCAATTGATGGTATTAGTGTCACTTTCATATTTTAGTTAGCAGTATCATTTTTGAGGGAGTTGTTTTTCCTGCCAGTGTTTTACCACTTGGATCTTTGCCTCAGCCAAGCTACAAGTCACCATTTTAATATGCCTTTGTAATTTGAACTTTTAAGAAAGTTTATGTGCATTTGTATGTCAAGTATTGTATATATAATCTTTAAAGAAACAACAGCCACTGTTTCTTGCCCATATCTTGTGCCTTTTAAAATTCTCTTTTCTGGTTGGGGAAATAATGTTGGGTAACTTTTTTACTATGTCTGCTTCTTTGCAAGGCTTTGTTTTTAACAGAATAATATTCTATGCTAAAAGTAGACATTATTTTTAGAAAGAAAATTGTTCAGTTGCTTGTGTCTTATTATGGTATATTTTTCTTTAAACAGAGTTGATCAAGAGCTTAATGGAAAACAAGATGAACCGAAAAATGAACAGTAAGTTTGGCATCTAGTCCAAACCAGACTGAAGAATGTGCTGATGAAGCAAGGCTTTTTTTGCATTTATAATGCATTTATTGCCCCATATTTTTTATGTAATCTGTTACAAAATTGACTTGACTTCTCCTTAATGGACTTTTGTACAAGGGACTGTTCACTGCTGTATTATTGGTTTGCAAGTTATCTTGAATTTAGTTCTTTAATAGCTAACTACATGATAATCATTTTATATTTTATAGTGCTACATAGCAGAGAACCACACTTTATATAAAGCAGTTTTTGCATTTGTTTATTGAATGATGCATCATCTTCAGTAAAAATATTTATATGCATAAATGGTAAAGGAAAGAAATAATATATTTTTATGTTTTTGAGCAATATTTTTTAATGTGTTCCTGTCTTGTGGAAGAATGTGCAGGTAAATCAGACCATGATTTTGTAAAAATGTGTTTTAGAATTTTTGTTTTTGTAAATGGTTAAATACATTTCCTGGGTAACTTAGAAACTTAAGTTGCTCGTAAGGCAAGGGACAGTTAAACTGATTCCCATAAATACCCAAAGATCATGTATATAATCTAAGTAGGTTAGTACTGTCACAAGCTTCTTTCTCACTTATGTATTAACTCAGAAGTGCATTGCACACTTTTTCCTTTTTAAACTTAAAGATAAGTCAAAAAGCCATTTTTAGAACTAGAGAATTGAAGACGGTAGAAATTGGGGGGTATATATATGTATATATGAGACATTTTATCTTCTGGCCCAAAGTCAGAACTTGTATAAAAATCTTGAGTTTGTTCACTAATGTGAAATAAGCTGTGTGTCCAGGGTATTGCTCCCCTGAATGCAAGTGCTCTGTAGTATTGCAGAGAATGTGATGAGTTCTTTACTGTCACAACTTTGTAGCAAACAGGGGCTGCTTTATAAACTGTTCTCACTGTGGGCACTTTACCAAAATACTTCCGTATTTGTTATTTGAACTCAATAGTTGTTTGACCTGGTCAGATAGGGTATGTTTTCAAGTTTCTATGGAATACTGTTTCACAGTACTTCAAATTAGGTTAATTTTGTAAGTCTTTACATCATTATATTGTGCTGTTTTGGATGATACATGATATAAACGTATAAACTCTTTGTTTCATTTGTTAAATACCTTTACATTTAAATAAACTGTATTTGTGTGTCCCCACAAAATCATTCTAAAACAACAGATTGGTGTAATATTATGTTACATACGTGAGAGATTTTTATACATTTAGTGAACTTAATGCCCTTCACATTTGAGTGTCACATTACAGTCCTTTCTGCAAGGCATTTTACGAAAGAGTGGCAAAATTGAAGTAGACGTGAGCTAAGCTTATAAGAATATTTCGTATCATAGGCCAAAAATACACATGGCTTTTGCCATTTTTTAGTAGGTTTCTGTTGCAAAAGAGAATTTTCCTTGACTTTTGTCCTCGGTCATAAACTCAGTGTGCTAGCTCCATAATCCAATTATGGGAGATGCTGAAGGTTTCCTCAGCAGCCTCCTGACGACCTGGATCCGGCAACTCTAGGCAGATCCTGCACTGATTGCATTATTATGAAGTAAGCCAAATCCATTATTGCTTACATCTTAGAAACACTTTGTGTCAAAGAAACAAACTAATGATAACAATTTAGGCATTCTTTCTGAATTTACTGTATGAGGATTTTTAAATAGGTAGTTTTCCACCATATGCTTGGTTCTTCAGTTTGAAAAATATGAAGAATAATTTCAGCTTTTTGTGTGTGTTTATTGGTTTTGTCATTGGTCCTAATTACAGATACAACTTGTTGCAAAAGTGATATTTTTGTACGTATCTTTTTCAGGTGGAAGTAGTCTATATTCTTTTAAACATTAAAATTCACAGGAACAGGGATAACACTTGGGATGTGCTATGAATCTAGATTAAAAGCATATCTGCTTTAACCTACAGCTAAGTGGAATCGGGTATGGGGATGTGCCCAACAGTAAATGTTCTGTAACTGTGACAGTTAGGGTCATAACCAGTAGGTTAGAGGAAAAGCACTTAGGTTTATTTGTAATTTGTAGCTGTGCAACATTTTCCCATATTATTTAACTCTAATTTTCCATTACTGATTGAGGTGAAGCTACATACATTTGTACTATTTTATCTTCCTGCTGGGGTCATGGATCTGACTTAACTGGTTTAATTTGATGCTTCTGTCATTTTTTGTTACACATAGATTTGAGTGCCCCTTTTTACTCAGAGTTTTTCATATGAAGTATGTGATTCTGTATTCTGCTTGATCATATTTCTAAGCAAAGGAAAAGAAAGACATACATTGATCCCTCAGTTTAAGCTTAATAGTCTTTAACTCAGAGGGATGGGTATGAAGAAATACCAGTCTAAGTAGTGTCTAACAGAGTAGTTGGAAAGATAAAACTAGGAAGAGAAAGAAAACCATTAAAAGGAATAAAGACTTAATTGATACCTGAGATACCAAGGAATGTGTCGCTCTTAAAGGAAGTACTTTATGTGGCAGCTGGTGGCACCATTTCACAGATCCAGGAGGGAACTCTGCAGACTATACCCAAAATATATGAATAAGGCTTCCATGGATCAAAGGGGAAATGGCTGATAGTTACATATTCCTACCTTACTTTCTTTGTCTCTTCGTACAGAAGCAAGTTTTAACAGGATTAATAATTCTAGTGCTTAGATTGAAGTTTAGGATTGGGTAATTTTGTATTTCACAGTTGCTAAACATTAATATAGTCTTCTAAAATGGTCAACACTCTATTTAGTAACCACTGAATACTGAAATTTGCTGATTGACAAGTATATGTCTATGGTAGAATTTCTTCAACTGCAGTTCCAGAATTTTAAAAGGTAAGGGATATGCTTTTAGACAGAGACTTTAAATGGCTATATAGGCATTTCTATTTGGCTGTTTATGTGACTGCTCAGGGAATTTGGAAAACTGATTTAATATAGAAGTGGCTTTTTAGATTTAAATTAGTTGATCAGTTAGCAGTTAGCATCAGGCAGAAAAGGCCAGTTTCCTGATGAAGTTAGTAGGGTTGTATGTAAGACCACAGTAGCTTCATCCTTTTCACCTTTTGTGTGAGGAAAATTGTTAACATTGCTCAATCAGGTGGGAACAGGAGATAGGCTGAAAATAGATTGATATACCATTCTATTTTGTCTTTGTACCCATTTTTCCCCCATCCTATATCAATATTTAAGAAGTGCATGACAGATTAATATCACAGGGATGGAGTAAAAGAGGAATAAACGTACTTAGTTGATCTTGTCATAGGCAGTAGGAATTGTGTAGTTGAACTAGCTGGGAGAAAGAACTTAGACTTGCATGGAAAGACCAACTTGTAAGGGAAGTGTGCTATTATCTATTTAATGTTCTGATGCAAAAGAATTACATGATGAGCTCTTAGTCTCCCTCCTCCACTCCTGAGATTCTGATGAATTTAGAATCAGATCAATGTGAGACCCAGTACTGTAACTTTCTCTTAAAGTTCTAAATGGTAATTGAAAATAGAATATAGTAGGTTGATCAGTAAGAGTGACACTAAAATTTGGATAGAACAGTGGCAACTATTTATAATAGATCTTCTACTTAATTTCCTGTTTTGAGAAATAAAATATGCTATGAAAAATTCACATAAAGTACTTAATAAATCAATAAATCAAGAGTTTATTGCTTTCATTAAAGAATATGAAGCTTTTAAGCTTTTTGTTTCAAATAGTTTGAGACATTCTACAAGAGGTGAAAACATTAACATTTGCATCTTGAAATTGTTATGCATTTTTACATTCAGTTTGGCTAAGGAAACAGTTAGAAAATAGCATTGTCAGCTACTCCACTGCACTTTTTGTGTCCAAACTTTCTAAAGTTTAATGTCCCTTTAACGGTTCACTGTTTAATTACATAAACATAGCTCGTAGATATTGGTGGTGTTGAAGGCCACTGACTTGCACAGCTCTTGGGGCACTATTCATTCACTATTCATAGAACACAATTTAGAGTTTGTTAGACACTAAAGCACTTTGATATGTTAAACTTTTCAAAAATATTTTTGTTACAAGTTCACATGCTGTCAAATAAAATTAATGTACTGTAACCATTTTACTCTTATTAGGATGATGCTGTCTAGTCCAGTACTGTCATTTTACAGTGTGAGAAATTCTGGGCTGATGTCTACATGTGCAAGATGTTGATGTCCCTGTAAGAAAACTAGGGTTGATCATGATTTACTAAGGAGATGTAATATTTTCTTTTCCTTTGACCTGTTAGAAATGCAATAACTTGTCTTGATTTGTTGCACATATTTTTGCAACGGTAATGAATTTAAATAAATTAATTGGAAAGTTTGTTTTCGCCTCATTTTATCAGATTTTTCTGTCTTCCATTATATGCTACTAGATTTTTTGCTCTTGGATTATCTTAGACGTCTTTTCAAATAATTTCAGATCTGCGCGCTTGTTTCTGCTTATTCCTTAGTGGGGTAAAGATAGTTTATAGACTTGGATTTAACTCCTTAATCACTATTAAAGTGCTTGATGTTTAAACTGCTGTACACATTACAACTGCTTTAATCCAGTAAGGATACCATGCATTCTGGAACGTAAAGGAATTTGGGATTGTTCAAACTCGAAATAATATTAATACATATTTTGTCTTGCATATTAGTCACAAATATTAAATACAAATTGTCCCTAATTAAAATCCTTTATGAATCAATCACAAACTAAAAGGTTGCCGCTCTATTTTTTTGTTTGGTTTTTTTTTTCTTCGTTTTTGTTATTAGATTTTTATTTATTTATTTTTTTTTTTCAGTTTTGGGCCGGGGCCGGGTTTGAACCCCCCACGTCCGGTAATGGAGGCCGGTGCCCTACTTCTTGAGCCACAGGCACCACCTTGTTCTTGGAATTTTTTTTTTTTTTTTTTCCGCTCTATTTTGAATGGCAAAAAAAGATGCCCTACTGTTAACCTTTTCAGGATTTGTCTATTTAGAATTGCAAGGTTTCCAACGGTATTACCCGCAACACACATTAGGGATAAAATGTGAATGCCCTACATTTCTTTAGTTGTGCAGCAAACAGTGGAGGTTAATTTCTAAAAATTAGAATTCCCTTCCAAACGGTTTAGCAAACCTGGCGAATTACTTGGAAAGGAAACCCGCCTGCCGCTATGTGGTTTGGCGCTCCAGCCCCATGCCCCGCCCCTCTCCACGCCCCGTCCTTCCCTCGCGAGGCGTGAGTGGCGCGCGAGAGCGGGTTGGGCGTGGCCTCTCGGCCCTGGGCTGGGTGTCACTTCCAGGATCTGGTAGCACTTCCGGGTCGTCCGCCTAGCTCTGCGGTCTCTGCGGCGAGTGAGGAGGCGGTCGGGAAGTAGGAAGGTCCTGCTGTGCTTCTGGCCGCTTCTGTCCGCTCTGCGGCGGGAGGCGCCTTTCCCACAGGTAGTGAGTGGGCGAGCCGGGCCGGGTAGGGAGGGAAAGTTGGGCTCGAGCTCCCTGCCGTACCCCGGGGCCGGGTCTGCGGTGGGTTGGGTCGTCCCTGAGGGCTCTTCTCGCCTGCGGCCGGCCCTCGCCTGCGGGGCGAGGGAGGCGAGGCGGCAGGGGACGGTTCCGTCCTGGGCGGGAGGCTTGTTGTCCGCCCAGCGCCGGCAGAACTGACCTGGGATGGTCCTCAGCTCAGCACCGTATTTTCAGCTAGATGAAAGTCTTAAAACTTCCAGGCCAGCGACTTGTGTTTTTGCCGAATTTCGGGAATCATTTCTTAAGCGCATTCCTTAAGTGTCTCATTCCTGTGCTTCGTCGCTCTTTGGAGGTCTGCCTTCCAACTTTCTTCGTGCAAAGTCCGACAGAGGAACGAATTTAAACTGAGTGGTTTAATTAAGAAAGACGAGGACTAGTTAATTCCGAATTTGAAGCCTTCAGATTTTCTGGACTGCAAAATGAGAAAGGAGTAATAAATTCCTGTAGCTTGATACTACATTTAAGAACATTAAAGCAAGTAATTTTAACAAACGTTTAAATATTTTAGCTATTATCTAGATAACTCAAGACTTTTGTCAAATGGTGCATAACACTAAAGATTCTGTGAAAGTTTTATCTCCTACTTCGTAAAATTTTTATTTCCCTAATTGAGATCTCTCCTTGCCCTTTTTGACACCCCCTACACACAACACCCCCTCATTCGTTTAATTGAACAGATGTTTTATTTGGCTCCTATTGTGTATCAGGTACTTTTCTAGATCCTTGATTTACTTCACTGAATAAACACAAAAATCTATGCCCTCGTGGAGCTTATGTTCTATTAGAGGATGTATAAAATAAATATAAAAGAAGTACATTATATGTATGAGTTTTAGAAGGTGATGATACCATCAAAGAAATAGAGCAAGAAGATAAAAGGTATGAGGAGTTTCCAGAGTGGAGCTGGGAATTGGTATTTTAAATATAGTCGACTTTTTAGGCCTCATTTCGTAGGTACTATTTAAGCAAAAACTTGAAGGAATTAAGTGAGTTAGCCAAGTGAATAGCTGGAGAAGGGCCTTCCCAGGCAGAACAGCCATTACAAAGGTTTTTAAGCCTGTCATGTTTGAGGAGTAGCAAGGAAGTGAGCCAGCGCTTGGGTTGGAGGGGAAAATAGGTGAGGTCATGGGTAGTCAGATCATTGTAAGGACTGATGAAAGCCATGGGAGGTTTTCTGTTCGTTTGTGAGACATGTTCCCCAGAGCTAGATTGCAGTGGCATCATCATAACTCACAACAACCTCAAACTCCTGGGCTCAACCCGTTCTGTGTCAGCCTCCCAACTAGCTGGGACTGCAGGTGCACAGCACCACACCTGGCCAATTTTTCTGTTTTTTATAAAGCTGAGGAAGCCTCATTCTTGTTCAGGCTGGTCTTAAACTCCTGGCCTCAAGTGGTCCTCCTATCTCAACCTCTTAAAATGCTAGGATTACAGCCATCATGCCTGGCCCATGGGAGCTTTTGAGTAGGCAAAGAAATGTGCTCTAACCTGTGTTTTACTCACCTAGCTGTGAGTCGTGAGTCGAAGCAAGCGTAGAAGTGGCAAAATCAGTTAAGAAGCTATTAATAGTATTCCAAATGATGGTGACAGTGGTCCAGGCCAGGATGATAACAGTGGAGATGGTGAGAAATGGTTGGATTCTGAATGCATGTCGAAGTTAGACAGGATTTGCTAAGAATTGGATGTGGAAATAGATTCAAAGATTTTGCCTAAACCTATAGAAATATGGAATTATTTCAACTAAAACACGAAAGAACAAGTAGAGATGTTGAGTGGGCAGCTAGATCTAAGAATAAGAAGTTCTGTTCTAATACAGTGTATGAAGTTGTGATTCATCAGAAATGGCATATAAATATATGAGAGTGACTGTTATCATGAAGGAGTGTATATAGACAGAAAGTAGCAGAGGACCAAGGAGTGTGCCCTCTGACATTAAGAGTTAAGGGAGAAGAGGATCAACCAAGAAAGAAGATAAAGAAGGATGAACCAGCAAGTTAAAGTTAAGAGAGCAACCCAAAATGTAGTGTCCCAGAAATGAAGTAAAGATAGAGTGCTGGGGCAAAAGTGAGTTTAGGAGAAAATGGGGAAAAAAGGAATGGGAGACAGTGTAAACAACCCTAAGTCTTTCTGGAAAGGGCAACAAGAGAAATAGAGTGCAGTTGGCAGGGAAATTGCATTGAGGAGGGAGTATTTTGGGTTTTGATTTCTTTTTTTAAGATAGGACAAGTAGCCACCTACTAGTTTGCTGATGGGAATGATCCATAGAAGAAGAAACCTGATGGTGAGGGAGAGAAGGAACAATTGAATTGTAAGAATGGTATCCTCCAGTGCACTAGAGAAGATAATCTGTGGTACAAAGGACTTGAATTTAGTGAAAAGCATGTCGAGTTCAACTGTAGTGACAAATAGGGGGATACAGGTTGAACATCCCAAATCCACAATGCTCCAAAGTCCAAAACTTTTTAAACACCAGCATGACAGTCAAAGGGAATGCTCTTCAGATTTTTGGTTTTGGGATGCTCAACCCATAAGTAAATATGATGCAAATGTTCTAAAGTCCAAAACATTTTGATCCCAACTATTTCAGATAAGGGATGTTTAACCTGCAGAGATACTGGTAGGTGGTTAAATCTAGTCGTGAGTCTGGATGTCATTGCTTCATTTTCCTCAGTAAATTAGAAAACTTTGTATCACACTTAGATATATTTCTAATATTTGATATTAGCACTTTGATATACCACCAAGTTATTTATTAACTCAACAAATGCTCAATGGATACATACTACATAAATTGTTTTAGGTGGCACCTTCGTAGATAATTTATTTCAGTAGATAGAGACAGAATAAGCATATGTGTGTGTATCAACTTCAGTTATTGGCATGAATGAAAATAAAGCAGTGTGAGGAAGAAGAGGAGTAATTATTTTTTATAGTTTGATCACAAAAAGCCTTTCTGATGAAGTGATATTTGAACAAAAATCTGAATCAAATGAGTGAGTGAATTATGCAAGTATCTGAGAAGAACAGTCACAGCGAAAAGAAAGCTAGCACAAAGGCCCTCAAACAGGAACATGCTTGCCTTAAGAATAGCAGGGGACCACTATGACTGGAGTCAGGCATGGAGATAAAGTTTGGGAGCAGGGATAGATGGAGTGGGGGGCCAAAATCCTAAAGGCCTTTCAAACCATGGGAAGGACTTCATGTTTGTGTCTCCCAGTGAGATGGGATGCTGCCATTGTTGGTTTTGAATAGACCTATGATGTGATTTGCCTTGTCTTCTTTTTTTTTTTTTTTTTTTT